CAGGTACGACATTAGATATTGTCTGATCACCATAAACAGAACCCAAGTTTTGGAAACCTGATCAATTACTGTCACAGGAATCCAGGACATTAACTCAATTTAAAATCTGACAGATGGAGGAAAACAAGATAAGGAAGGAGAAGGAGCGAGAACAAATCAGGATTCTGGAGGAGAAAAATGAGAGGGTGATGGAAGAATGTCCTCTCATGAAGCAGCAATATCCGGGCCAGAGAAGAAGGACCAAAGAGAAGTGTAAGGATTGGGGTTTAGATGAAGGGCACCTCGTCCTTCCTCACCCAAACGCCTAAAAGTCAAATCCATCCTTGTCCCTACACACTCTCCCTCTGCTTGGTTTACACCGTCAACAGGAAGTGCTCAGAGAGCAGTCAGCCATTTGCAGGGTACTCCAAAAACAACTGAACATGCAGATGGTCCAAACAGCTGGATGTTCAATTAAGGTGTAATTTGAGTCTATTTTCCAAACAAATAAAGCCATTATAATTCAAATTTTGTTCGTGTGGATTTTTAGTGCAGAAACATAAAGAGCAAGTCCTTGAATGTCACTAAGAAGTCAGTGATTCAACTTTTCAAATCAACCAAGTTCAAAAACTTTATTGACCTAGAACCTGATTAGGATGCCAGATGATGTATCGTACAGAAAGTTGTACATAATCTTTTTTGCAACATAGAAAACTTTACATTGCTGTATCATATACATTTTGTTTTCTACATCCATGAGCAGGAACGCATCCCCATTCATACTTAAAGCACAGCTAACGTTTCTCATCTTCTCTATACATTTTACCATCCCGCAAACCAAAGGAAAAAAAAACATTAAATATATTATTAACTTTTGATTTTGTACACAGGAGTGAAAACTAAACTCAAACATGACAACAGACAGGTGGCGTAAAAGCAGCTAGCATCAGGTCGCTCTCTCCTCCTCCAGTTTCAGAAGCCCAGGTATCATCTAACTCTGTTACAAACCTAACGACATATAAAATGGAATAATTTAACCCTTCACTTTCTGTGGTCTCACTCAAAGTACAAATCGTACTGTGTAGGACAATCTGCACGAGATGGTACAGTTAAAATAAATTATCACAAAAGTAAAATCTCCAGTGCATTCAAAAAAGAGATCAAGTGCAGCAAATCCATAGGAGAAAAAAGAAATAAACAAAAAAATATGAAATCTAGTGTTATAAGATTATATTACATAGCGGCAGATCTGTACAACTAGTTTCATCCAAGAGGCTGTCAATACTAATGTTAGCCTTCTGCGGCGCTGACAGAAAGATCATTACTATCAATGTGTGACAAACGCCACATTTCAAAGTGACTGAATATGTCTGCATGTTGTTTGGAACCGTTCGTTCTTTACGTTTTAAATATACAGTAAGAAGCACATGTTTTTGAAATATATTCCTTCTGAGCAGATCAGAGATATGAGTGACTGTCAGTAGTTTTATCCAGTGGAGGCAGCGCTACACCTTGTTTGAGACATGACTGTTTTTATTGTGATATATAGAACTCCATCTGGGCTGTGTGTGTGTGTATAGGCGTGTTTGTGTGGTCCCGGGGTTAAGGGTGCGGGTGGGTGGTAGCAGATAGCCGACTGATAATCGGGCTATTCAGGCCAAGTGTCCGACAGAAACCCAGCGGAGGCCGCTGAGGTGACAGGGCCACGGTGCGGCCCCGTGAGGCTGAGGCCTCGGTGCAGCTCTGTCTTCCAGGCTGTTTGTGGTGCGGCGTCACTGGGCCTCCTCCCCAGCCTCCTCTGCCTCCTCCAGGTCAGTTTCCTGCTCAACATGCGACGGCTGAGGCTCTGGTTCGGGCAGCTGTGCGATGTTGAACACCAGGCCGATCCGCAGGTAGAACTTTCTAAGAACCGTGCGCAGCTCAGGGATCAGGTCAAACTGCATGATCTCACAGAGCAGAGGGTAGTACCTGGACGCATGAGCCTTGAACTTAAAGGTGGAAGAGGAAGAAAGAGAAAGACAGAGGCATAAAAAATCCCACTTTTAAGTAACTAACTCGCTGGCAGTTTGGCAGCATCAATCTAAAATGAAAATATAACATTCATTGCTGTGCAAATGGGTTGAACTGCACATTATTCATTTTTGTAGTCAATTGATTTGATGAATATAAATCTGAAAATATCAAACCAGTTTTCAATGTGATAGGTTTTATTCTCCCTGAACTGCACAGTTTCATTGTGTTTGTAACATTATTACTAAAATGTCTTTCTGATTTGTACAACAGTATTTTATATTCAAGTTGAAAACGAGACTCACAAGAATTATGTGTCTTGTTATTGTATCTGTTCTGAAATACCACTGTGGCTCACACCTCTACCTCATTCGTTATTTTTGGATATCAGACCTAGTTGTGAATTATCTGGAGAGTGCAGAGGGTCACACACACACACACACACACACACACACACACACACACACACACACACACACACACACACACACACACA